ATCTACAACTCTTCTCTTTAATCAATAAAATAGAAATCCAACATATGATCACTTTTGATCACCACGTCTACTACTGCCAATTACACGTTTCAGAATCTCCTAATTGTAACTAGGCCCTCAAAGAAAAACATAAGGCCTTATGATACACTGTATGTATGAGAATCAACAAAGGGAGAAGATTCCAATCATGAAAAAGTAAGCAAATAGTGTAGGTCGTGATGAAATTAACCAGTAACATCTTGGCCTAACTACATACACATGCAAGATGCAGAGGATGCAGAGTGTTCTATATCTATGAAAGGCCCAGCCTATGACCACATCCTGTTCAGCTCACAGTACTTTCTGGTAGGGAGAGGTGGGGGGCTCTGGGCGTCCAAATTTGATCTTGTCATACAGAGTCTGCGGCTACATGTGACAGATAATCAAGAAAAAACTGTTTCAGCATCAAGAAATGTATTGACTATTTTCAAAGTAGACTACCGTACATAGTCTTCCATTCAATCACATACATTTTAACATTATGACTATTTATATCTTACCTCATTCAATCTTGGGATAGCCAGATCATTGACAGTCTCATAGATGGACATTGGGTTTACCTGACTGTTTGATCTTGTCTGGAATCAAAATACAGCCCATTACAATACAGTACATACAGCTTCCACACATTCAGATACATAATAACGGCAATGCATACTTACATCTTTAATGATTGTGTTGATCATAACATCAGCATATATTGTGTTGACAGTGCTGTCTTTGATAAGAACAAAATATTAACCAATCAGATACATTTTAAACAGGATATCAACAAACATACCCAGGAATTAATAAACAACACTTATGAGGGGTCTCACGCTTTTCCCAATTCCTAGCAAATCCACACAAAAAAAAATAATATCAGCTGAAGAATACTTCTAGAACCACCTGAAATGTCACATTAAATGTAGTTAGTTAAGGGCCCTAAGCAGTACATACCTGTGTTACGGCGGCCCCTGCAGTAGCACACTGCCACAGCTACAGTGAGGATCAGCACCACAGCGCCTCCTACTGATACTCCGACATAGATGGTATACCACACCAGTCCTGTCAAATATTGTACAACACACATGATTAGATTATACAATATGATAAAAACTAAATGGCTCTATATCATATACATCCAATGTAATCACAAGCATTATATATTATATTTGGATAAGAGTGTCTGCTAAATGACGTAAATGTAAATAAGCATATAAGCACACTGAAAAGTGTATGGAAGGGATTATTATGATATCTAGGTACCTGGTGTGGTTGTGTCATTACTACACTTTACTGTTGCAAAGGCAGATTTCCAGCTGACTAGGTTGGAGGCATTGCATGTTACAATGATGTCTCTCTCTGCAGGAGAGAGAGAGAGGTGGATCTGCTGGGCGTCTGCGTACATCTCATTGTCTCTCTCCCAGGTGTATGTAAGGTTGGAGTAGCAGGACACGTTGCACACCAGTCGCACCGTACAGGAGTGGTTGGCCAATAGCTTGATGTCTGTCTGGATCACCACCTTGGATATAGGCTCTGAGAGAGAGAGAGAGAGAGAGAGAGATATAGATAGAGATAGAGATAGAGATAGAGAGAGAGAGAGAGAGAGTTGTAATCAGTCGACAACAAGATGTTACCAGAGTGTAAGACAAAGGATGGAATATGTCATTAACACTATAGTCATAGAAAAGTAAACTATGTAAAGAAGGTGATAGCTTCCTACCGTGAACCTGCAGAGTGACAGCCTTACTGGGAATCTGCTTGTCTGTTTCAGCAATAACTAGATATTCCCCTGAGTCTTGCAGAGTCAGTTTCCTAATTGTTAAACTGAAGTCTTTGGCATTCATTTCTAGTCTCCCCTTGAACCGGGATCCATGGAAATGTAAACCTTCTGAGTTGAATTCTGCAATATCCTTTTCGCTATACCTCCAATTAATTAGGGTGACATTTTGCCCCTCTAAGCCTGCAGGCATCTCCACGGAGTCCCCTACTGTCTTGTGGAATGACAGGTATGAAGAAACACCCACACCTGAAACACAAAAATTGACATTGGCATTCTGACATCAATCAATGGTTACACTTACTGCTGTGTAATTATTCATGTAAGTATGGTGTAGCAAGTATTGCAATTACTCATTGTTACAATGTAATACTTGTTACAGTGTGCCTACATGACTAATTACACAATAATACTCTGCAATGCAAAGTGTTACCTAATCAATAATAGATAATAATGGATTGGATTTATATAGAGCATTTCCAGGTTTCATTTATACTGTACGTGGCACTTTACATATTTGCACTTTATATCTTTAAGTAACTGAGTGTGTGGGTCCATCTTTACTTTATTAAAGTCCGCTCCTCCCCCACATTCAGCAGAACAGTATGAGATGACAGGAAAAGAGAATTGGGGGTGGATCTGATAACTCCTCCTCAGCTCACAAATACAAATCCCACTGTGTTTACTGAGTAATTACCCCAGAAATGCATCATATACTGCATGGGCAACATTATAAATACATGTCAGTCTGAAGTGATGTTTTATAAACCCTTACACAAAAAAACATCAGTCATGAATTAAGAAATAAATACAGTTACAGTTAATTGAAGAATTTATGGCAGAACTGCAGTTATCCTAGGCATGCAATGTATCTTATTATGTAATACAAACAATAATTGCATACAGTCCAATATCACCTTAAATTTAATGAATGACATGCATCTAGCACAGGGTCGTAAGATCTCTTGCGTTCTAGAAGCACTGCAGAATCAATACATCATGATATGTTGCTGAATATAGGTATTATGTAGGTGTTATCACACAGTAATAAAGCAAACGTTTCGAGATATTCAACCAATCACTTATGACTAGGCATTCTACAGTCAACACACCATGCAAAGACCAACAATGAATTTAGAGAAAGCTAACGGTTTTCCAAACTTTATCATACCATCAAACACATGCACATGAGAATTATTCTACCCTCTTGGTTTCACATTAGACTAAGGAGACCGTTGAAAAGACCTTAAGCAGCCAACTGACTAAAGTCAGTAAGTGGTTATCCATGTAGGCAGACAGAATGTATCCTGTTTGGTTCCGAAAACAAAGTGAGAAACTATTCCAACTTCTCGGTCAAGTGTAATGGTGTAGTGGTGAAGGAAAAATGCTATGTTACATACATTGGGATGTGAACTGGACCAACACATGACATGTGAACTTATGGCTCTGAAGGTCATTGGGTAGGTTCACTCCAGGACAAAGTTCTTGGCAAGGTAGCCAAGTTCTTGTATACAGAGAGTATGAGGACCCTGGAAACATCTCTGATACGGTGCCACTATGGCTATGCTTCTATCTCATGGTTCAGTGGCGTATCACAAAATCTGAAGGACAAACTTAAAACGACCCAAAACAAACATTGGTCCTAATCATTTCAGGGAACTGAACTGGCTTCTAGTTAATCTCCTGGTGATGCAGATAAAACTGTTGATGGTTTTTAAAGTGATACATGACCTTGCCCCCAGTTACCTTTCTGATTATTTTAATTTCATTAGAGACTCTCATAGTCATCACACCAGAGCCAGTGTTGCCAGTATGAGACTGCTGCTCTATAGGAGCATGGCTGGAAAAAGCTATTTCCTTAACACTGGCGCAGAGGAATGGAATGGTGTGCCAAACCATATAAAATCCATCAATATACGCTAGGGAGTTTTAAGATAAACCCTAAGAAATGGTTTATGGGCAAAATGCTTTAAAACTGCACAACAAAGTATAATTGTTTCAATGAACGTCACTTGGTAATCTATTTTATTCCTTTTACGGTTTCCTCCATATTGATGAGGTGTATTTTAGGTGTTTTTTGCTTTCATGTTATCTTGTGTATATTTTTGTTTTCATGTATTTTCTTGACGTCCACAATGGGGATACGTTTTAAAACTTTTTTGTGTCATCCACGGCGATGGTTGTATTGTGGTTGTATTGTGTTTAAAATGTTCAAATGAATAAAAATCGTCACAAAACTTACCATAGTGGAGGTTGGAGAGTATGAGAAGGAGTATTCCCTGTTTGGAGAAGCAGGAGAAGGGACCACCAGACATCTCTTTAAGGCGTTGTATGACTGTTTCCTCTGGCTGTATGTCCTCATCTATCACTGTCACTGGTAGCAAGCAGTTGACTACCAAAACACACAGAGAAGAAAGAGTAGAGAAAGAGCAGAGACTTCCTTTTGATGAGGGCTGCTGTTCTATAAAATCATCCCTGTATGTTAGTTGAAAAATAAGTCACATTCTACAGTTGCTCTCTGGAAATACCCCTTCGCTCAGCTTGAGAGTTAGTAGATGAGGCGTGGGTGTGTTTGGGGTCTGTCACTGTGTTGTTCAGTCTGGTGGTGGTGGTTTTGGAGCATGTGTTTCCTACCTGCTGCTGGTTGTGTGGTTAATGGTCATGGTGTTTCACAGATACCGGTAACTTTGTCACTTTATGAGCAGACCACTCAATGTTGCAGAGAAATAAAAAGGAGGGAGAGAGAAGGCTCAGGGGAAGAGAGAAAGAGAGACAGAGACAAAGAGAGAAAGAGAGATAGGGACAGAGAGAGAGACAGAGAGAGAGAAAGAGAGAGAGGGGGGGAGAGAGAGCAAGAGAGAGGTGGGTTAGAGAGAGAGAGCGAGAGAGAGCAAAAATATCATAACAGTGTGTGTGCATTTTCATCTAGTCTTCATATGCCTGGAGAAGTGTTTGCATGACTTCTTCTGCATGCTCATAGGTCAGTGTGACTGAGGGACATGAAACACCTGCCAACTTTTTCAGAAGGTAGTGGGTCCAAGGTTACTGATAGAGGCCCCCTTCTACATTTCAGGTAACATCTTGTGGTGATGTTACTTCCTGTGACTTGTGGTCTCCGTGGCGACCTGTTTCTGTTTCTCAGGAGCAGTGACATTGACCTGGCTGCTGGCTGTCTGTCTGACCACATAGACATAGACACACAAACACAGAAACCCCCTAACTGGAACAGTGACTTTCCAAACCATGCAGGGATACTGAAAATAGCAGTCAGAGTCATACACCACTAATGTCATTGTATATATACAGTTGAAGTCGGAAGTTTACATACACTTAGGTTGGAGTCATTAAAACTATTTTGTCAACCACTCCACAAAATTATTGTTAACAAACTATAGTTTTGGCAAGTCAGTTAGGACATCTACTTTCTGCATGACACAAGTAATTTTTCCAACAATTGTTTACAGACAGATTATTTCACTTATAATTCACTGTATCACAATTCCAGTGGGTCAGTAGTTTACATACACTAAGTTGACTGTGCCTTTAAACAGCTTGGAAAATTCCAGAAAATGATGTCATTGATTTAGAAGCTTCTGGTAGGCTAATTGACATCATTTGAGTCAATTGGAGGTGTACCTGTGGATGTATTTCAAGGCCTACCTTCAATCCCAGTGCCTCTTTGCTTGACATCATGGGAAAATCAAAAGAAATCAGCCAAGACCTCAGAAAAAAAAAAATTGACCTCCACAAGTCTGGTTCATCATTGTCACAAGCTGGGCTTGAACTCAGGTCTCAGATGTGGAGAGTTGGGTGTTCAACCCCTTAGCCACAGAGGAGGTATAGTTGGACCCAAATGAAACACCCAAGGCAATACTCCAGGCAAGTAGATTTAATGTAAAAAAAGGTTCTTTGCACTTCAAAAATAATCCAACAAAAGTTCTTCTCAGAAAGAGGTATACTAACAGAGGTACAGTAAACAAAACAGGAGGCAAAACAAAATAACTCCACGAGGGGAGAAAAACAAACTAAAGATAACTTAGAAAAGCTTACTTGGAAAGACTCTGTGGGACAAAGCAGGAGACACATAGCCAGGACTCAAAAACCAAGTGAGGAACAAGGGGAAAAAACACAGCTAAAATACTCTAGGGGAAACAAGGCACAGGTGACCTGGATCAAGCTAATAAGGACACACGAGGAAGAACTAAGGCAGAGGGGAACACAGATGACCTCTAGAGGCCCGGAGACAAACAGGAGGCAGGGAGCTGACAGGACCCCCTCCTCTAGGAACGACTCCTGACGTTCCTTCCAGAACACCCTGGCCTCAGGGTGCGAAACTCTCGGATCAAACCTGGGTCCAGGATGTCCTTGGCTGGAACCCAGGAGCGCTCCTCTGGCCCGTAGCCCTCCCAGTCCACCAGATACTGCAGAGAGTTCTGGACCCTCCGGGAGTCCAGTATCCGGCGGACTGTGTAGGCTGGCTGGCCGTCAATGATCCTGGGAGGTGGCGGGGGTCTGCGTGGGGGGGCAAAGGGAGAAGACAAGACAGGTTTTAGTAGTGAAACATGAAAAGTGGGGTTAATTCTAAGGGAGCGAGGGAGAACCAAACGATAAGAAACAGGGTTAACTTTTCTTGCTATGCGGAAAGGGCCGATGTATTTCTGGGAAAGCTTCTTGGATTCGACCCGGAGGGGCATGTTCTTAGTGGCCAACCAAACTCTCTGACCAGCTCGGAAACTAGGGGCCGTCCGGCGGCGGCGATTAGCCTGACTTTGGTATCTCTGGGAGGTCCGAAGGAGGGTACGCCTGGCCTTCTTCCAGGTCCGCCTACAGCGTTGGACAAAGCGCTGGGCCGAGGGAACACCAACTTGCGCCTCTTCCTCTGGAAATAATGGAGGGGTGTAACCGAACTGGCATTCGAAGGGGGACAATCCGGTGGCTGAGGACTGGAGGGTGTTGTGGGCATATTCAGCCCAAATGATATAGGTGGCCCAAGACGTGGGATTACTGGCCGCCATACACCGCAGGGTGGTCTCCAGATCCTGATTAATCCGTTCCGTTTGGCCATTAGACTCTGGATGGAACCCCGACGATAGGCTGGCTGTGGCCCCAATAAGCCTGCAGAAGGCCCCCCAAAACCGGGACGAGAATTGGGGACCTCGGTCGGAGACCAAGTCCAGGGGAATTCCAAATATCCGGAAGACATGGTTCATGAGGAGCTCAGCAGTCTCCTTAGCCGAGGGCAGCTTGGGCAGGGGAATAAACCGGGCAGCCTTAGAGAACCGGTCTACCACCACTAGGATGACTGTGTTGCCCTGGGATGGAGGAAGTCCCGTAACAAAGTCCAGAGAAAGGTGTGACCATGGCCTTCGAGGAACAGGTAAGGGATGGAGCAGTCCCTGGGGTCGCTGACGTGTCGACTTTCCCTGGTTGCACACAGGGCAGGCCTCAACATAGACCTGCACGTCCTTCTTGATGGACGGCCACCAAAACCGCATTCGGAGGAATTCCAGTGTGCGAGCACTGCCTGGATGGCATGTCAAGGGCGACTCATGACCCCACTGCAAGACGCGGGCCCGAACAGAGAGAGGAACGTACAGGCGACCGGCAGGACCACCGCCTGGATCGGGCTCATGGACAAGGGCCTCTCGTACCCCTCTTTCTAGTTCCCACTGAAGAGGTGCGACGATCCTAGACCTCGGAATAATCGATGCCAAGGGCTTCTCTTGTATCTCGGGAGAATAGGCTCGAGACAGGGCATCCGGCTTGACGTTCTTGGTGCCAGGTCTGTAAGACAGGAGGAACTGGAAACGATTAAAGAAAAGGGACCATCGTGCTTGCCGAGGGTTCATCCGCTTAGCCTGTTGGAGATATTCCAGGTTCTTGTGGTCTGTAAGAACCTGGAAAGGATGCTGAGCCCCCTCAAGCCAATGGCGCCACTCTTCCAAGGCCAGTTTTACCACAAGCAACTCTCGATCCCCCACGTGGTAGTTGCGCTCGGCCTCAGACAGGCGGCGAGACATGAAGGCACAAGGGTGTAATCTCCCATCCTCACCCCTCTGTGACAGGACGGCTCCCACCCCCACCTCTGAGGCGTCCACCTCCACCACGAAAGGTCTTTCTGGGTCAGGGATCACCAGAATCGGAGCAGAAGTAAAGCGGCGCTTGAGATCCTCGAAGGTCCCTGCTGCTTCCGGACCCCAGTGAATCTTGGTCCCTCCTCCCTTGGTAAGCGTCGTCAAGGGGGCTACCACAGAGCTGAAATTCTTAATGAACTTCCGATAGAAGTTAGAAAAGCCAATGAACCGTTGAACCTCCTTGACCGTGGCAGGTGTGGGCCAGCTGTGGACCACTTTGACCTTCTTGGGATCCATCTCTAGGTGGCCGGGAGTGACAATAAACCCGAGAAACTGAGTCTGGGAAACATGAAATTCACACTTCTCAGGTTTAACGTAGAGGTGATTGTCAAGGAGCCTCTGGAGAACCCTGCTAACATGCCCCTCATGCTCCTTCAGTGACCTCGAGAAGATGAGGATATCGTCCAGGTACACGAAGACGAACAGATTAAGCATATCCCGGAGAACATCATTAATCAGGGCTTGGAATACTGCGGGGGCATTGGTGAGCCCCGAACGGCATCACCCGATATTCATAGTGCCCCGTGGGCGTGTTGAATGCCGTTTCCATTCGTCTCCTTGCCGGATCCGCACGAGATGGTAAGCATTGCGGAGATCCAGTTTAGTAAAAATGGAAGCCCCTTGAAGCAGCTCAAAAGCAGTGGCCATGAGAGGAAGGGGGGTATCGATTCCGAACCGTGATCTTGTTGAGTCCCCGGTAATCAATACAAGGCCTAAGACCCCCGTCTTTCTTTTCAACAAAAAAGAAGCCCGCCCCAGCCGGGGAAGTAGAGGCACAGATGAGGCCGGCTGCCAAGGACTCCTTAATGTAGGTGTCCATAGCTGCGTGCTCGGGGGAGGATAAGGAAAAGATCCGACCTCTAGGAGGGCAGCAACCAGGGAGTAGATCAATGGCACAGTCATACGTGCGGTGAGGCGGTAAGGAAGTAGCCCGGGCCTTGCTGAACACTGCCTTGAACCGATGGTAAACACTGGGGACTAGGGAGACGTCAACAGACTCTTGAAACTGGGTACTAGGGGCTGAGGGACTCTGAAGCATGCAGGTGAGTTGGCAAGTGGGACCCCAGCTTAGAATGGTGCCAGTAGGCCAGTCGATCTGGGGATTATGTCTGCATAGCCAAGGGTGACCCAGGATAATAGGATACTCGGGAGAGTCAATGAGATAGAAGGTCTCCTCCTGCTGGTGTTGAGAGATGGTAAGTCGCAGGGACTGAGTCGCCTCTGTAACCTTTCCTGGTTCCAGAGGTCTGCCATCTAAGGCTGTAACTGCCTGGGGTTGAGGAAGTAGTTGGGTAGGGATCTTAAGTTCCTTAGCCAAGGTTAAATCCAGGAAATCACCTGCGGCACCGGAATCGATCATAGCCTGGACCCGATGCTGGTGGCCCTCCCAGGACAGAGTGGCTGGAATAGCTAGGACAGCGTTAGTAGGAGGAGCTCTAATTTTCCCCATCACAGCCCTCCTGTAGCTGGGCGGGGACAGGCGTTTCCCGAAAGCTCGGGGCAAGTGGAGCAGAAGTGGCCGGCAACCCCGCAGTAGAGGCACCGACGCTCCCTCATGCGACGTTCCCTTTCGTTTGGGAGAAAGCCTGGAACGGCCTAACTGCATGCTCTCCGGGGAATCCTGGAGCAGTTCAGGAGCCGGGGGAAGCTCTGAATGACGGAGCCCAAACAGGAGAAACAGATCTGCTCAGAGGAACTTGGGACTGAGACACCTGGCGGCGAGCCGTTCTCCGCTCTCTTAGACGATTGTCCAGGCGGATGGCCAAGGCTATGAGGGACTCGAGATCTCCAGCTGGTTCTCGGGTGGCTAACTCATCTTGAAGGGGCTCAGATAACCCTCCCTGAAAACAGACCCTCAGCGCTTCATCATTCCATCCGCTCCTTGCTGCTATGGTCCGGAATTCAATGGCAAAATCTGCCGTGCTTCGGGGACCCTGACGGAGAGACAGTAGGCGCTTGGAAGCTTCCCGCCCACTGACAGGATGATCGAACACCCGCTTGAACTCTTCTACAAATGCAGCGTAGGAGTCACAACAGGCCTCCTGGGACTGCCACACCGCAGAGGCCCAGGAGAGCGCCTTGTCTGAAAGAAGGGTAATGATGTAGGCAATCTTGGAACGGTCTGTGGGAAAACTTGAGGGTTGGAGCTCGAAGGTGAGGGAGCATGGGTGAGGAAACCCTGGCAAGAGCTTGGATCCCCAGAAAAGGGCTTGGGAGGTGGTAGTCGGGGCTCCGCCACTGGAGAAGGCCTGTCGTCACTGGGGGGTGACCTGGAGGAAGGGAAAGGACCAGGGAGGCGTTCAAAGAGCTGGCGGAGGGGACTCATCATTTCGGCCAGGAGTTGAGAATGACTAGCCATCAGCTCTTCTTGTCGGCTGAGAACGGCTTCATGGCGCTGGAAAGATGCCTCATGTCGAGTGATCATCGCCAACAGGTCCTGGGAACTGAGTGTTTCTGGGTCCATGATTGACCTTGGTTTTTCTGTCACAAGCTGGGCTTGAACTCAGGTCTCAGATGTGGAGAGTTGGGTGTTCAACCCCTTAGCCACAGAGGAGGTATAGTTGGACCCAAATGAAACACCCAAGGCAATACTCCAGGCAAGTAGATTTAATGTAAAAAAAGGTTCTTTGCACTTCAAAATAATCCAACAAAAGTTCTTCTCAGAAGAGGTATACTAACAGAGGTACAGTAAACAAAACAGGAGGCAAAACAAAATAACTCCACGAGGGGAGAAAAACAAACTAAAGATAACTTAGAAAGCTTACTTGGAAAGACTCTGTGGGACAAAGCAGGAGACACATAGCCAGGACTCAAAAACCAAGTGAGGAACAAGGGGAAAAAACACAGCTAAAATACTCTAGGGGAAACAAGGCACAGGTTGACCTGGATCAAGCTAATAAGGACACACGAGGAAGAACTAAGGCAGAGGGGAACACAGATGACCTCTAGAGGCCCGGAGACAAACAGGAGGCAGGGAGCTGACAATCATTGGGCGCAATTTCCAAACGCCTGAAGGTTACCACGTTCATCTGTACAAATAATAGTACGCAAGTATAAACACCATGGGACCACGCAGCCGTCATAACGCTCAGGAAGGAGACGCGTTCTGTCTCCTAGAGATGAACGTACTTTGGTGCGAAAAGTGCAAATCAATCCCAGAACAACGCAAAGGACCTTGTGAAGATGCTGGAGGAAACAGGTACAAAAGTATCTATATCCACAGTAAAACGAGTCATATATCGACATAACCTGAAAGGCCGCTCAGCAAGGAAGAAGCCACTGCTCCAAAACTGCCATAAACAAAGCACAGACTACGGTTGGCAACTGCACAGGGGGACAAGATCGTAATTTTTGGAGAAATGTCCTCTGGTCTGATGAAACAAAAAATAGAACTGTTTGGCCATAATGACCATCGTTATGTTTGGAGGAAAAAGGGGGTTTCTTGCAAGCCGAAGAACACCATCCCAACCGTGAAGCATGGGGGTGGCAGCATCATGCTGTGGGGGTGCTTGCTGCAGGAGGGACTGGTGCACTTCACAAAATAGATTGCATCATGAGGAAGGAAAATGATGTGGATATATTGAAGCAACATCTCAAGACATCAGTCAGGAAGTTAAAGCTTGGTTGTAATGGTCTTCCAAATGGACAATGACCCCAAGCATACTTCCAACATTGTGGCAAAATGGCTTAAGGACAACAAAGTCAAGGTATTGGAGAGGCCATCACAAAGCCCTGACCTCAATCCTATAGAAAATATTTAGGAAGAACTGAAAGAGCGTGTGCGAGCAAGGAGGCCTACAAACCTGACTCAGTTACACCAGCTCTGTCTGGAGGAATGGGCCGAAATTCCCCCAACTTATTGTGGGAAGCTTGTGGAAGACTAATCGAAACGTTTGACCCAAGTTAAACAATTTAAAGGCAATGCTACCAAATACTAATTGAGTGTATGTAAACTTCTAACCCACTGGGAATGTGATGAATAAAATAAAAGCTGAATAAATCATTCTCTCTACTATTATTCTGACATTTCACATTCTTAAAATTAAAGTGGTGACCTAACTGACCTAAGACAGGGAATTTTTACTAGGATTAATGTCAGGAATTGTGAAAACTGAGTTTAAATGTATTTCAAATCAAATCAAATTTATTGGTCACATGCGCCGAATACAACAGGTGCAGACATCACAGTGAAATGCTTACTTACAGCCCTTAACCAACAGTGCATTTATTTTTAACAAAAAAAGTAAAAATAAAACAACAACAAAAAAGTGTTGAGAAAAAAAAGGCAGAAGTAAAAGAATACAGTAGGGAGGCATATATAGAACGTGGAAGTTTTGGAAAAGTTTAACCCCTTGGTTGGTCTTTTTTGCACCCCCCACAAAATTTTGTAAAACAAGTTTTGGGTTTTTTTGGCTTACTTTCCCTGATGAAACAAAAAAAATTTTTTCCATGTTGGGCCGTAACTTTTTCTTATCCTCCGGGGTAAAGTTACAAAAAACGGCCCTTAAACCGTTTGGAAAACCGGGCAGTTTTTTGGTGGCTTTTGCAAACCCATTATCCATTGGGGGTGCCCGGGTCTTTCCAAGGCCACCTTCTCCCGGCCCTTTTGCTTGACACCGGGAACCCAAAAGTGCCAAGCTAAAAAAATGCCTCACTCGGGGGTTTCCTTGCCAGGGGGTTGGGAAAACCCTCGGCCAGTTGGGAATTGGGTGTTCCCTGGAAAGGAGGTTTTTCCCCAATGCCCCCCAAGGCAATCTCAGGCGAGTTTTTGTAAAAAAGGGTTTTCCCAATTAAAATTCCCACAAGTTTTTCCAAAGATAAAACTCGGGGTAAAAAAACGGAGGAAAACAAAAACTCCCGGGGGCCCAAATAAGTTTTTAAAAAGCTACAAAAAGGACTCGGGGGACAGAGGGGGACCCTGCCGGCCAAAAAAAGGGGGGGAAAAAACAACCAAAAAAACCCTTGGGGAACCAGGAAGGGACCTGGCCAGTTGGCAGGGGAATAAGGGGGGAACAAATGCCTTGGGCCCCAGCCAAACGGGGGGGGAGTGACGGACCCCCCCCCCTTAGGAAGTTACTTCCCCCAGAACACCCGGCCTAGGTAAAACTCTGGACCCCCTGGGTGGGTGCCCTTGGCGGGACCGGGACCTCCTTTGGGCCCGTCCCCCTCCCACCACCAGATCTGAGGATTGCCCTGGGGACCAGTATCCGGGGCGTAGGCGGGGCTGGGTCATGTCCGGGAGGTGGCGGGCCCCCGCTGGGGGGGCCCCAGGGGAAGAAAGACGGTTTTGTAGGAAAACAGAAAGTGGAATCGGGGACGAAGAAAAAAATTTAAAAGGGTTTTTTTCTTGTTTTGCAAAGGGCCGAGTTGGGAAAAGCCTTGGATTCGCCCGGACGTTTTTTAGGCCCCAACCAAAAACCTCTGACCAGGGAAAAAACTAGGGGCTGGGGCGGCGCGTTTAAAATGACTTTGTATTTTTTGGGGGAGGTCCAAAAAGGGGTACGTGGCCTCCCCCCAGGTCGCCTGCTTGGGAAAAAGGTCCGGGGAAACCATTGGCCTCTTTTGGAAAAAGGGAGGGGGCCCGAACGCTCGAGGGGAAAATGGGGGCTAGGCGGGGGTTTGTGGGCATTTCCCCCCCCCAAAATGTATGGTGGCCAAGACGGGTTTTACTGAAACCCCCAGGGTTCCCCAACCAAAACCTTCTTTGGGCAGGCCCGGTACCCCACTGGTGCTGTCCCCAAAAGCCTCAAAAGGGCCCCCAAACCGGGAGAATTGGGGAGGGGGACCCCCAGGGGTTCCAATACCGGAAACATGGCTGAGGCTCAGCATCCTTAGCCAGGGCAGTTGGGCGGGGATCCGGGCCCCTTAAGAAACCGGTTACACTGGAACTGGTTGCCTGGGATGGAGGAATCCCAACAAATCAAGAAATGCCCCCTTGAAAAGAAAATAAGTGGGCCTGAGTTCAAATTTTCCTTGACACGGGCAGGCCTAAACATAGCCCCAGTTTTATGGACGGGCCCCAAAACGATTCGGAGATTCCGTTGGAGCACTCTGGGGTGTAAGGGTTTCTTAATGCAAGGGGGGGGGGAGGGAAAAACAGGGAGGGGGGGGCCCCCCATGGGCCAGGGGACAAGGGTCTCGTACCCCCTTTAGTTCCCATGAAATCGGACGTCCGAATGGGAATATGATGCAAGGTTCCTTTTTGGGGGAAAATCCGGAGGGGGCACCCTTGCTTTCTGGTCCCCGGTTGTAAAGGAGGAAGGAAATTTAAGAAAAGGGACAAATCTTTTCCGGGGGTTTCTTTCCGTACCTGGGGGGATTAGGTTTTTGTGGCTGAAAAAACCAAGGACCCCCCCTCAAGCCAATCCCACTCCAGGCGTTTTACCACAAAAACTTCGTCCCCCCTGTATTTCCCGGCCCTCAAAGGCGGCAGCAAAGGCCGGGGTTTGTTTTTACCCCCTTAAAGGGAGCCCCCAAACCCCCCCCGAGGGCCCCCCCCACCAAAAAAAAGGGGTTTTTCGGGGTCAGGGTAAAAAGGAAAAAAAGGGGGGTTGAATCCCGAAGCCCCCTCGGCTTCCGGACCCCATATTTTCCTTTTGGAAGGTAAAAGGGGGCTCCAAAAGGCTGTTCTTTGCTTTAAATTAAAAGCCAATGAACCGTGAACCTCCTTGACCGGGTTGGCCACTGTGAAACCACTTACCTTCTGGGACTTTTAGGGGCCGGGGGCAAAAACCCCGAAACAGTCAAAAAATGAAATTAACATTCGGGTTTAATAAGGGTGTCAGGAGCCCGGAAAAACCCTGCTAAATGCCCCCAGTCCTTATACCCGAGAAAAGGTTGCCGGTACAGGGAAACAAACCGATTCATATCCCGGAGAACTCTTTAAATCAGGGCTTGGAATACCGGCATTGGTACCCGAACGGCATCACCCAATTCTGTGCCCCTGGCTTGAATGCCTTTCCATTCGTCTCTTGCCATCCCCCCATTACATTGCAGTCCAGTTTATAAAAAGGCCCCTGGGTAAAAGGGTGGATGGGGGGGGGGTAACGATTCGCCGTATCTTTTGGTCCCCGTTAAATCAACCCCCTAGCCCCGTTTTTTTTCAACAAAAAGGGCCCCCCAGGGGAAAGAGGCCAATCCCGGTGCCAAGACCCCCTAAGTATGCCTTCCCCGTGCGGGGGGAAAGGAAGATGCCTCGGAGGGCAGCAACCGGGAGAATCAACACAGCATCGTGGGTGAGGGGGTGGAAACCCGGGGCTTGCAAAATGCCTTAAAACCGAGGTAAGGGGGGGACAAAAAAATCTTGAAACTGGGGGGGGGCTGGGGATCTGAACATGCATGAGTTGGCGGGGACCCCAGTTAAAGGTGCCAGGGCCCCGTCACGGGGTTTAGTCTGAATACCAAGGGTACAAAGGAAAAGGATTACTGGGGAAGCAATGGAAAAAAGGTCTCCCCCGCTGGGGAGAGGGTTCCAGGGACTGACCCTTTTGTAACCTTTCCCGGTTCCAAGGCTATTAAGGCTGAACTCCCGGGGGTTAAAGAGGGGGGGATAAAAAATTCCTTAGCCAGGTTAATCCGAAAACCCCTGGGGCACGGAATTCTCCGGCCCGTGCTTGGCCCCCCAACAATGGGAATTCCCTAGGGACAGGTTAGAGGGACTTTTTTCCCCCTCAACCCCTCCCTACTGGGCGGGGACAGGCGTTTTAAAACTCGGGGGAAAGGGGGCAGAAGTGGCCCAACCCCGGTAAAAACACCCGACGCTCCCCAGGAGCCCCCTTTCGGGGAAAACCTAAAGGGGGCCTCCGATCTCTCCGGGTTTGGAATTTTCAAGCCGGGGAAAAGTCTAATGAGGCCCCCAAACGGGAAACAATCTGCTAAGGGGAAACTTGGAACTGAGCACCGGCCACCGTTCCCCCTCTTTGACGTTTGTGGCATGGAAACTATAACCAATCCAGGGCCGGGTGGTAAAATTCTTGAAGGGGGCTCAATAACCCCTCCCTGAAACAACCCCACCCCTTCATATTTTTTTGGAGTCCGAATTAATAAAATTCCTGCCCCCTTGGGAAACATTTAGGGTTGGAAATTTTTGAAAATGCCCAACCCCCCTTGCTTTTTACAAATCCTAGGGGTAAAAGTTTGGGGACTGAAGAGGGAGGGGGCCCCCTTTGTTAAAAAGGGTTGTGTAGGCAATCTTGGGAACGGTTCTGTGGGAAAACTTGAGGGGGAGCTCGGGGTGAGGGAATTTGGGGGTGGGAAACCCGGGCAAGGTTGATCCCCAGAAAAGGTTGGGAGGTGGTATCGGGGCTCCGCCGGGAGGCCCTGTCGTCACGGGGGGTGACCTGGGGGAAAGGGGAAGGACCGGAGGCTTTAAAAGAGTGGGGGGGGGCTCATCATTTCGGCCCGGGGTTTGAGAAGATAGCCATCGTCTTTTTGTGGCGGGAAACCTTCATGGCCGGAAAAGATCCCCTCTGTCGAGTGATCATCCCAACAGTCCGGGGAAATGAGTGTTTCTGGGTCCATGTTTGATTTGTTTTCTTACAAGCGGGGCTTGAACTCAGGTCTCAATGTGGAATTTGGGTGTTAAACCCCCTTTTGCCACAAGGGGATAGTTGGACCAAATGAAACCCAAGGCAAACTGGGAAGTGATTTATGAAAAAAAAGGTTTTTGCATTTCAAAAATAACCAAAAAAATTTTCTTCTCAAAAAGAGGTATACTAACAGGGGTCAGTAAAAAAAACGGAGGCAAAAAAAAAAAAAAATCCACGGGGGAAAAAAAACTAAGAAAAATTAAAAGCATTGGAAAATTTGGGGGGGAAAAAGCGGAGACACTGCCAGGATAAAAAAACCAAAAGGGGAAAAAGGGAAAAAAAACACCAAAAAATATCTGGGGGAAAAAAGGGCCAGGTCCTGGATAAACTAAAAAGGACCCGGGAGACAAAGGAGGGGGGAACACAAGACCCTGGGGCCCCGGGACAAACAGGAGGCAGGAGCTAAAATCATTGGGGCGAAATTTTTCCAACCCCTAAAGGTACCACGTTCTCGTAAAATAATAGTCGAAAGTTAAAACCCCCGGGCCCACCAGCCGTATAACGCTAGGAAGGAGACGCTTTGTCCCTAATGAACGTATTGTGCAAAAGTCAATAAACCCCGAACACAGCAAGGCCCTGTGAAGATGCTGGGGAAAAAGGGTAAAAAAGTATTTTTCCCTAAAACGATCCTAATCGACAAAACCTAAAGGCCCCGCTCAGAAGGGGAAGAACCCCTGTCAAAACTCCCAAAAAAAGCCAGACTAGGTTGGCAATGCACAGGGGGGACAAAGATCGAAATTTTGGAAAAATGTCCTCGGGTCTGATGAAACAAAATAAACTTTTTTGGCCATAATGCCATCGTTATGTTTGGAGAAAAAGGGGGGGTTTTTTGGGAAACCGAAAACACCACCCCAACCTGAACATGGGGGGGGCGCTCATGCTGGGGGGGTGTTTTGGGCTGGCAGGAGGGAGGGTGCACTTCACAAAATAGATTGCATCAAAAGGAATGTGTGGATTAGGGGAAGAAAATCCAAACTCGTGGGAATTTAAAAGTTGTTTGTAAATGGTTTTTCCAAGGGCATGCCCCCAAAACTTCCAAACATTGGGGAAAAAATGGTTAAGGAAACAAAAAATAAAGGTTTTGGGGAGGCCATCACAACCCCTGCCCTAAACCTATGAAAATATTTAGGAGAACTAAAAAGGGTTTTGCGAGCAAGGGGCCTACAACCGACCTTTTCCCAGCCGTCTGGAGGAAGGGGCCCGAATTCCCCCAATTTTTGGGGGAAGTTTTGGGGGAAGACTAATCGAAAGTTTGACCAAGTTAAAATTTAAAGGCAATGCTCCCAATACTAATTGAGGTATGTAAACTTAAAACCACGGGGAAAGTGATGAAAAAATAAAAGAAAAAATCATTTCTCTCTATTATTCTGACATTCACATTCTTAAATTAAAAGGGGGATCCAACTGATAAAACAGGGGTTTTTTTTTTGATTAAAGTAGGATTGAAAAAGGTTTAAATGTTTTCAAAACAAAACAATTTTATTGGTCAATGGCCAATCAAAAGTGCAGACATCACAGTGAATGCTTCTTACGCCCCTTAACCAACAGTGCCCTTTTTTTTAACAAAAAAAATAAAAAAAAAACAACAACAAAAAAAAATTGGAAAAAAAAAAAGAGGAAAAAAGAAAATAAATAGGGAGGCTATTATCAGGGGGGTACCGTTGCAGAGCAAAGTGCGGGGGCACCCGGGTAGTTTAGATATTGAAGTATAGTACGTGGGGAAATTAAAGTATATGCAAATAATTACAGATGCCGGTTTCGGCCCGGGGTGTCCCCCTCCTTTTCGGGCAGGCTTCGGGGTCGTCGTCCCCGGGGGGGATGCTACCCGTTTGTTTCTGTTTGTTTGGTTTTTTCTGTTTTTACACCTGTCCCTTTTTGTTTTGTTTGGTTTCCTTTTTTTTACGTGGTTTGGGTCGGTGTTTGGTGTGGGGGGTTATTGTCTAGCTGTTTTCCTCGTTTTTACCCCTGTTTTGTTGTTTTTCGAGATCCGCACTCTGGGCGCTTTGTCCCCCTTTTCCCGTGTTTTGTGCGAATTTGTATTTTGCCTCCGGGTTGGGTTGGCTGTTTTTGCCTGTTTTGGGGGCTGCCCTTTTTTTACAAAGTTGTTTAAAAACCCCCGGTTTTTCCCCGCTTTTTATTTCCACCCGCTTAACTCGCACCGACAGAACACAATCATACCTGAACAGCAGGAGCAAAACCGCGCCAAAAATCATGGGGACCCGCGTGGGCGGGGCCGGATCAACCAGACGGTCACCCCTGGAAAGGGTGTGCCCCCCTCCACCGAGGGGAAAACAGCAGGGGACCCACGCCCCCACCTACCGGACCCTCCCCCGGTCAATTTTCCCCCTGTCCCCCTTCCGGGCCAGCGGGATTTGGCTCTCGCTCCCGAGGGCGTAACGGTCCGCTGCCGGGGGGGCAAGGGTTCCTGTGCAAGTGGAGTCTCCCCCGCCACCCTACACCCGGGGGCCCCTCGGGACCGAGAGGTCTCCCCCCTATTCCCGTTCCCCCGGCAAGGCGTTTTGGGGTGGGCCAACGCCCAAGGAGGGGAAAAAGCGCCGTACTATTAACTACCGGGTTTCCCCCCCTTCCCTGCCCCTGTTGAATCCCCCAAAAAGGGAAAGGGGGGGGGGCGGGGGAGGTTTCCCTCCGAAGGGGGGGAGGGGCACAGGAATTTGCTTTTGGGGTTTTGGACCTAGGCAGATGCAGGGGTGGAATGAGCGGCCCCCTAGACCCCTTCCGCTGAGCCCCGGGAGGACGTCCAGAGATTGGCGGCAGGGATACCACGTTTTCGTTTTACCAAGGGGCGAAAGGCCCTTTGGTGGCCCCTGCTCGCCCCCCTGGGCGCCCGGGTGGGGGTTGCCCTTTCCCCCTTTCCGCACCTCCCACCGAGGGCCCCTTTGGGGCCGGGGGTGTGGGGAGAGAAGGAGATAGGAAAACCCCAGGGGGGGGGTTCCCCGCACCAAATGTGGCCGGGAGGGCACCCGCGGCTAGGTGTTGGGGAAGGGTTTCCCCCCTGGAGGTGAAGGAGGGCCCCGCATTGGGGGGGCCTCCCCGGTGAGTAGGCGCCCCCACTTTCCCAAGGGTTTTTGTCGTTTACAAACCTTGCCCGTTTTTTTTCCCCAGGTTGCACCTCTTCCCAGCATAAGGGGCTAGTGATTCGGCGCGCTGGGGAATTTTGTAAATCGCCCGTTTTTGTGTAGAGTTTTGGGATCCCTCCTTCCCTTTGAAAGCCTTTTTCTGTCATGCCCCAATAGCCTCCGTTTGGGTCTGGGTTATTTGGGATCACAGCGCCCCCTTTGAGAGACGCGGGGGGTCTGGGGGACGATTAGCTCTTCTGTTTACTCTCCCGCGTATCCGTGGTGCTGGGATTCCCCGGTTGAACCCAGTTTTCTATTTCGTGGGGGGAAGCTCTTAAGGGGGGGGGCTGTTTAGTTGAGGGGCTAGTCGGGGGTTTTCCCTAGGGGCGACCCTGGAGAGTCCAAAAACAAATGCCCCCACTGCATATTTCCCCCCATATGAGGATTGACCTGGTGTTTAGTAGACAAGGGCGGGGCAGGGCCCCCTCATAACAGGGGGGTTTTCGTAAAACTCGTTAGGGCAGCACTCCCCGGAGCCTGGTTTTCCGTTAGAGAGAGGAAGGCGGGAAACTACATGCTGATCCTGAGACAGGGATACATACGGGCCTCCACTTACCCCTTCCTTAGCTTCTTTTGTAAAAAAAAAAGATGGAGGTTTTGCCCCGGGTTTTATTCCGCGGTCTCAAACAATTACGGTGAAGTCAGTATCCCCTTCCTCTGATTGCGATATGACGGAGTCAAAAACGTGCTCATTCTTCACAAAAATTGGGTTCAGGAGCGCAAAAACTTGGGCGATTAGAAGGGCAAAGAAAGGAAGACAGATTTAGCCACCTCCGTCATTACGAGTATTTGTCAGCCCTATGGGTTAAAGAATGCTCCCTCGTCTTCCAATCCCTTTTTGATTTAATTTTTGGGGGAAAGAGGGCGGGATTAGTCGTTAATAGAGTATTCTGGGGACATTCCCAGCTGGCATGTAGCCCTGGGGCGCCGAGTGTGAGGAGACTGTTGGAGATGACCTATATGTCAAGGCAGAAATGTTTTTTTTTTCAGAAATCGGTTCCTTTTTTGGTTTCAGTTGTCGCGTCGGGGGGAAAATGGAGGTACCGGGTGTAGCTGTGCGTAATTTGGGAAAACCCCCCCTTTAAAAAAGGGGTTTCAAAGTTTCTTTTGGTTTTTTCGAATTATTACCGGAGGTTTACCGGGGGTTTTGGACGTGAGCTCCCCCAACGTTTGTTAAGGGGGGGGCCGGTGCGCTTGCGGTGGCGAGGCGGAAGGGTTTTTTGGGGGACTGAAGGATGTTTTCCTCGGGCCGGTGTTGGGCATCCGGATCCCCTTTACCATTTCCGTAGAAGTAACGTCCGAGGCCGGTATTGGGGCCCTCCTCTAAAGGGTTTGGCCCCCCCAAGCTCCCCCCGTGTTTTATTTAAAAACTCAGTCCGGCGGACGGAATTTTATGTAGGGGAAGGGACTGTTAGCCGGTAGGCCCTAAAGGGTGGAGGGATTGGCTTTAGGGGGGCCCAAACCCCCTTTCCCCATTTTGACGGACCCCCGTAACCTGAGTACTCCGGGCAGTAGGAGACTGAATCCCGCCGGCCCCGCTGGGCTATGTTTCTAGCCCGGTTTTTGTGTTTTAAAAACACTTAACCCCGGGTCCCAGAACGGGAAGGGGAATGC